ATAAATTGGATTTATCCTCCGCAATCAGAAGCATTTTAGCCGTGCTATTTTAAAAACAAACCGTCCATAAGCACACTACGCCCATTTATCTCACGTCCAATTAGTAAATGAATACGCGTCCAACCATTATATTTAAATAACCGTTTTTTGCCACAAGGTAGCTAACAACCTTTCTTTACATCACCTATCACAGTTCATAAATTATCAGATAATAGCCGCTTAAATCCCGATCTTCCTGCTCAAGCCAAGACCTGTAACCACAACTTCGCAAAAAGTCACAAAAGAGGAAATTAGATAGAATCTCCCCGGCCACTTAATACCTCACCTTTGCTTCTTAATCCACCTTAGAAAATCCGATAATTGCAACATTGTTAAACACAATCCGCTCTCGACGATGAGAATGCCGGCAGAAATAAATTCTAGAATGAAGTAGTGGCTTAGCGTAATCAGGTTATTCACATGAGTATAGCGAAGTTCCTCGACCAGAAAAAAATCGTCGAACGCTATGAGATTATAAAGCAATTCGTAGTTTAATATGCAGCGAATAGAACGATTTTTTTTCGATCTCGAGCCGTTGATAAATTAGCATTGCTGGCGGTGCGGCAGCGTGATACACCCAAAAAATAACGGCAAATGCGGGTTTTCAATACGTTCAGACGTTTTATCTTGGGTCAAGGCTCGTCTGAGATTTTTTATTTGGAGAGGAAATGCAGCGAGTGGCGAGTGATGGATCAGGTCGATGACAACCTTAATTGATAAACGTAATTTATCAAAAAGGGTTCTTGGTGGAGGAACATCATCGTCGTGGAATTTTGGTAGTGTGTGTTGACGGATATTGAAGAGGAAAGATTTAGCGGTAATTTGTTGGCAGGATGAGAATTACAAGACTTTTGGCACGTAGGTGAGCGAAAAAATGTAACATTTTAATTGGGAGAGTGATCGCTGGATGATAATAGGTTTTTTGTCTAGGCAGGTGGCGTTTAAAAATTTATACACTGGTGTCAAATGACGCACTATCTACAACAACTTAGTAACTGTTTTGTAGTAAATTAGACTTTTGTGTTGGACAAAGACAGCATTTCCGCTATTTCATGGTGAAAATTTGCATATTGAGACGCGGTTTTTGTTAAGTTATCTGCTTTGAACTGGGGTTATAGTTCAAAATTGTCATTAGTCTATGGTTACATGAATGAACATTCAACCGATTGTTAGAGTGAGTGATTCGTGGTTTCTAGTTGAATAAGAAACTGGATACCTCTTATTGTCTCATGACACGGAACGTCATACCACTTTCCATATAAATTAGACAAGCAGGACTTGGACACTTTTAAAGGTTGGTATTCACGGGCGAAATTCTCACGCGAAAAACCGCCAGTGTCTATTTTTATCTTCCGTCGTGCGTTGACTATCGACGACAAAATTGGATTGATAAGTTCCAGTTGTTGTTGTTGTTGTTGTTGTGACATTTCTCTTTCGCCGTCATTATCATTGTCTTTGTTTAGTCATATTTATTTCCATGTTTATTTTTTCTAGCTCTTTTTGGTATTCGGTTATATTTTGTTGCAAATATTTTTCTGATTCTTCCAGAATCACCATCGGCAAATAATAATTTTAGAAGTTTTATGGTCCCACCTTCCAAAATTTCACTTTAGTTTAATAACAGAGTACCACGAATATCAACCAAATCCCAGTCTTATTATTCAGAGAAATGCAAAATACAATTCACAGAAAAAGATATCTCAGAGTCACTAAAATGATAATTGAAGAGCTTATGTTGTAGAAGAAAAATTTAAGTTCATTACCAAAAATAATTTACCATTTTAGACATGTTTTAAGTTTCTTGTTGTCGAAATAAGTCTACACATATTAAGAAAAAAACTGCAAAATGTAGCCCCGCCCACCCACCCTATCTCAATTGCGATGATTTTTTTTATTCGTTGTGAGCCAAGACGGCAAAAACATGTTTTTGAGTATCGTGTTATTCAAAGAATACTAAGTATATTAAGAAAAATATAAAGCCAAAATACCACCCCCTCCATACCCGCCCCGATAAATATTAATGAAGTTTTCATTCGTTGGAAGAATATCTAGGAGCTGAGCCTAATTGCAAAATCCATATTTATTTACAAAAATTTACCATTTTAAAGGTGTTTTAAGTGTCCGAGAATAAAAAAAATCATCAGAATTGAGATAGGGCGGGTGGGCGGGCTTACATTTTGCCTTTTTGTTTTAATATACATAGTATTCTTTGAACAATACGATACCCAAAAACATGTTTTTAATTTCTCGTGAAGAAATAAGTATTTTGCAGTTAAGCTTCGCCCCCTTGGTTCACGGCGAATAAAAAAATCATCACAATTGAGACAGGGCGGGTGGGCGGGCTTACATTTTGTCTTTTTGTTTTAATATGTGTAGACCTCTTTTCGCAATATGAAACTTAAAACATGTATAAATGGAAAATTTGTATAAAGAAATATGGATTTTGCAACTAGCCTCCGCGCCATAATTGCAAAACCCATATTTCCTTCCAAAAATGTACCATTTTAACCATGTTCTAAGTTTCTTGTGAAAAGATGGCTATTTATATTAAGAAAAAAAAGGCAAAATATAAGCCCCGCCCACCCGCCCTATCTCAATTCTGATGATTTTTTTTATTCGTCGTGCGCCAAGAGGGTGGAGCTTAATTGCAAAATCTTTATTTTTCTACCAGAAATTACCACTTGAAACATGTTGTAATCGTGTTATACTTACAAAGAAAACTAAATGTGTTAATTAGAAAAGAAATTCAAAAGGGAAGCCCCACCCATCCATTTCGATCTTAGTCGTAATGAGTTTTTCATTCGTTGTCAGAACCAAGGGCGGAGCGTAACTGCAAAATCGATACTTTCCTTACCAAAATTTACCATTTTAAACGTGTTTTAAGTGTCTAAGAATTAAAAAAATCATCACAATTGAGAGGGGTGGGTGAATATTTTGTCTTTTGTTTTAATATACATAGTATTCTTTGAACAATACGATACCCAAAAACATGTTTTTAATTTCTCGTGAAGAAATAAATATTTTGCAGTTAAGCTTCGCCCCCTTGGTTCACGGCGAATAAAGAAATCATCACAATTGAGACCGGGCGGGTGGACGGGCTTATATTTGGTCTTTTTGTTTTAATATGTGTAGACTTCTTTTCGCAACATGGAACTTAAAACAAGTTTAAAATGGAAAATTTGCGTAAGGAAATATCGATTTTGCAGCTAGCCTCCGCCCCATAATTGCAAAACCCATATTTCCTTGCAAAAATGTACCATTTTAATCATGTTCTAAGTTTCTTGTGAAAAGAGGGCTATGTATATTAAAAAAAAAGCCACAATATAAGCCCCGCCCACCCACCCTATCTCAATTCTGATGATTTTTTTTATTCGTCGTGCGCCAAGAGGGTGGAGCTTAATTGCAAAATCTTTATTTGAAACATGTTCTTGAGTAATCGTGTTATACTTATAAAGAAAACTAAATGTATTAATTAGAAAAGAATTCCAAAAGGGAAGCCCCACCCATCCGTTTCAATCTCAATTGTGATGAGTTTTTCATTCGTTGGCAGACCCAAACGCGGAGCGTAATTGCAAAATCGATACTTTCCTACAAAAATTTACCATATTCAACATGTTTTTACCTTTATTGTTGTAAAAAGAATGCTTCACTACACATATTAAAGAAAAGGAGAAATGGAAAAATGGAAGGAAACCAGACAAAGGAAAAGGAATAAAGGATGCAGATAGGGAAATCGGAAAAAGGGAAGCTGGTACACAATTAGGAGAAAAAGGGGTGAAGGTACTGTGGGAAAATTTGATGTGACACTAACACAAGAATATGTGTGGGAGTGTCAAGGGGCGACAAAGAAAAAGAAAAAGGGAGAGCAAGCGGGGGAATAGTAATGGGAATTTGAAAAGAAATGCAAGAATTGGAAAAGGGAAATAATAATAAAAACGGATTAATGAAGAAAGTAATACAGATGAATAAGAATCGATGGGAAATAATATTCGTTTATAGCAAAAAATTGGAGGAAATCAAGATAAACATAGAAAAGAAAAGGGAAGAAAAAGGAGACGAAAAAGTACTTATAGGAGGGGATTTTAACGCAAAACTGGGCGATAAGGGGACAAGAATAATAGATAAAGAAAAGGGAGAGAAAAGAGAATCAAAAGACAAAGCAAATAACAAAGAAGGGAAAATATTGTGGAAGATAATAGAAGAAATGGGATGGGAAATTTTGAATGGAAACAAGGAAGGAGATGAAGAAGGAGAATGGACGTACGTAGGGACTAGGGAAGAATCAATTATAGACTATGGGATTGTTAACGAAGAGGCGTGGGAATAAATAGAGAGTTTCAAAGTGGGGGAAAGGATAGAATCAGACCACATGCCACTAGAAATAAAAATCAAAGGAAAAGAACAAGAGTACGAAAAACTAGAGAGAAGAAACGAAAGAAAAGAAATAGAAAAAAGAATATGGGATGAAGAGGGAATCCAAAGATACGGAAGTAGACTAGAAAAAAAGAAATTCGAAGCAAAAGAAGATATAGAAGCTATGATAACAGAAGTGATCAACTTAATTGCAGAAGCTACGGAAAAAAGAAAGATATACATATGACAAGAGAGGAATAATGGATGGAACGGAGAATATAGTGAGTTGAAGAGAAAAGCAAGGGAAAAATGAAAAAATTGGAAGAATAACAGGGGAAGGAGAGAAGAGTACTTAAAAGCAAGATAGAATTACCGGAGAAAAAGTAAAGAAAGCAGAAGAGAAAAACGAGAAGAAGAAGAGAACACAATAAAATCCCGGAAAACAGAAGAAGAAGTATAGAGATATATAAACAAGGAACGAAGAAGGAAGACTGAAGGCAATAGGAAAATTAAAATATATGAAACGGAAAAGACACTTTATGGAATTATTGGGAGGTTGTGAGGAAAAATGCTATAAAATAAATAAAGGAATCACAACGACGGAAGAAATGTGGAGAGATTCGGAAATAACCAATGATGAAATAAGAAGACTGAAAAGAGGAAAGGCACCAGGAGGGGATGGAATCCAGAACGAAACGTGGATGTTCGGGACAGAAGGAGTGAAAGAAAGGATATGGGAAGTGGTAGATGGAGTTTGGAAGGGAAAAGGGTTTCTTCGGCAGTGGAGAGAGGGTATAATAATCCCATTATTTAAAAAGGGGACAAAAAAGTGATGTGAAGAACTACCGAGGGATCACCTTGCTTAATACGGCGTTCAAGATATACGCAATGATACTAGATGAGAGGTTACGAAAGGAGATGGAAGCAAGGGGTATGTTACCAGACGGTCAGGCAGGATTTAGGAAAGGAAGAGGTATTATGGACAATGTGTACATCCCGCGGCATTTAGTGGGAAGAGAAATAAGGAAAGAGGGGGGACGAATGTACGCATTGTTCATAGATTTCAAAGCAGCGTTTGATAACGTGAATAGAGAGAAAATGTGGGAGTATTTGAGGAGAAAGGGAATAGATGCGTACCTGGTAACGAAAATGGAAGAAATATATGAAGAAACAGTAAATAAGGTGAGAGTGAATGGAATAGAGAGCGAGAGTTTTTATACAAAAAGAGGAGTGAGACAGGGATGCCCACTCAGCCCCGCATTGTTTGCAGCTTATCTAGGAGATATAGATGAAATGTTCAGAAAAGCACAGACAGGAGAGGTGGTAGTGGGCAAAGAGAAAGTGTGGTCGTTGGCGCACGCAGATGATTTAGTGATTGTGGCAAAGAAAAGAGAAGAAATGAAAACAATGATTAAAAGTTTGGAGAAGTATATAAAAAAAGGAATTGGAAGTGAATGTGAAAAAACAAAAATGTTGGTGTTTGGGAAGTAAGTAAGAAAGGAGAAGGAAGCGTGGGCATGGAGAGGGAAGAAGATTGAACAGGTGAAAGAATTCCAGTACTTAGGATATACATTAAAGAACAATAACTCAGACAGAGCGCATATTCAAGAAAGGGTCCGAAAAGCGTCAAAGTGATAGGAATACTATGTGGAATAGGAGAGAGAAAATTTGGACATGATTATAAGAGAAGAATGATGATGTTTGATAGTTTGATCAAAAGTGTATTTATGTATCGAGCTGAAATTTGGGGATGGAGGGAATATGAAGAAATAGAGAGAGTGCAAGAAAAATACTCAAAATAGACATTGGGATTGGAAAAGTGTACGCCGAGGTATATAGTGAGAGAAGAAACAAAGAGGGTGAAAATGAGAGTGGAAGCGGGTAAAAGGGCGGTTGGATTTGAAGAGAAGTTTAGTGAGAGAGGTGGTTGTAAAATATTGCAAGAATGTTGGAAAGAAATAAGAAAGGAAGGGAGAAAACATGTTTGGAACGAAAGAAACAAGTATTATGAAAGCAAGGGATATGCATGTGAAGAAATCGAGAGAATGAGAGAAATGGGGAGGAGTATGAGAAGAACTGAGTGTAAGAGACAAGGATATAGATGAGCAAGAACGCAGATTGAGAATATCGGTGTCTAGATATAATGCAGAGTATAGAAAAATAGTAAAGGATGAAGTACCAAAGTACAGAGAGAGAGAGAGAGAGTATAAAGGAGAAACGAATGATGGCGAGATTTAGGTGTGGAAATGAAGAGAAAGAGAATAATTTCTGGATGGATGAAACTGACAGAACTTGTAGGATATGTTGGAGAGAGGGAGAAACAATAGAGCATATGCTGGAAGGATGTGAAGGATTGAGAGAATCGGAGGAAAGTAAGGAAGAAGTTCTAAACGAGGATGGAAGAGGACTGGACTGGATGAAAGAAGTACGAAAGATAAGGGAACTAAGAAAGCTCGAATATTTATTTTGATGATTTATTTGTATTATGTAGATTAAGTTAATTTGTACTTGCACTGGGAATCTTATTAAGCCTGTAAGGCGAATAATAAATTAATACTACTACCCTACACATATTAAGAAAACTAAACTCCTGAGCGAGAAAAAATTGGAAATGAATCTTTGTTTCGGACTAAAAAAGGAAGCAAGATGTTATTTTTTTTATTATTTTTGAAAGAAATGTCGAAATCTAACTTTTTGCAAATTCTTGAAGTGGATTAATAAAAGATAATGAAAGTAGGGAAAAAATAGTTGTCGAACGTGGTCGAGCGATTAAATTATAATTTTCATAATTAAATGTGTACAGAAATTGTTATAGACTGTTATTTTTTGGATGATGTCAAGTTCTTTTTCGACGGCTTTTCGGCTTAACGGAATGTCTAGTAATCTAAAAAAAAGGGAATTGAAAGTTGAAAATTACTTGTTTCAATTTACCAGCAAAGTCATAATTATCCTTGATTGTGTATTTATTTTGTAAGGGAACAACTTTTCTTAAGTCATTTTGTTAATTAATGACATGGGTAAGTGATAAAGGAAACTACTAGTTTAATAGGGTAACTCCAGTAACATTTTATATGTAATAAATATTGAAGTTCTAACATTTAAATAATATGGGTAACGACGGATTTTTTTTTAGAAAATCAATATTGGTTTTAAATATTAAATATATATTTATTTTCAATGTTTAATACTTATTTAGTTCAGAACATTTAATAAATGTTCTTCATGTGAAAGGGGGTATGGATATAAAAAAAAACTTGTATGGAATACAATATAAAATTTATTAAACACAAAAATACATTGTCACTGAAAATAACAGTGTATTTGAAACGTTGCGGCAATATTTATACATTTAAAAATTATTTGTCCTAGAACCAATTCCTTGAAAATTTGTACCAGGTGATTTTTTTTTTAATTTTTGCTGTAGTTACCCATGATACTTATGTCAGCAGTGAAACTGAAACTGCTGACATAAGCTTCATGGGCAACCAGAGCATAAATTTTAAAAAATCACCTGATGTGAAACACAATCTAAATTTTTTAAACATAAAAATAGACTGCCAACTTAAAATGAAATAAAAATACATTGTCATTGTCATCGTCATGTTCTGCTACATTTCAATCGTTATACAGAAATATTTATTTAATAATTATTTGCTCTATAACCAATTCATTGAAAAGCGATATAATTAATTAAAATAAAAAAAAATCATACCTCATGTTTTTTTCAATGAGAATTCATTCTTGCTTTTGTCTGCGCTTAATGAGGTCCTACCATTTTTTAAATTTCAGTAGTTGTGGCGTTTTTGTGACGTTTCCGTGTGGTACCTATTATTAAATTAACTTACCAAGTTCGTAATTTTTAAGAAATCACATAACTTTACATATTGTAGCCTTGTTAATTGTGAGTTCACTAAAAGAGAGCTTATTTTTTTCCTTGCCCTGAGAACTTGAAAGCAATTTGGTTCGTTATTAATAATTTCTTCAAAATGGCATACATGCTTTATTACGTCTTCTCTTCCTGACAAATAAACATTATTATCAGTCTGAAACTAGTTTATAAATACTAGGAGTTAATAATAATGATAATAATAAATGCTTATTTTTTCAAATTAATTGTTAATATTGCTCCAATAAAAACCCTATAAAATAAATTACTTACAAGTTGTCCCAACATGGTACTTTTTTTTTCATTTTTGTTGTTCGGTATCTTGATAAAAATACATTTCAAATTCATATATAAATTTATAAAGATAAAATGAATATTATATAAATATTTGTAATATCTAGTCAACATTTAATATTATATCAATCTTGTATAAATATTAGAAAAATATTGCTTGCTACTGGGGAATGAAGCTAGTGGATCTTGGGAAGATCATATAGTCTGGGAGTTGAAGGGTCCATTGGTATGAGAAAGGGTTTATTTGTCTCAAAAAAAATGTTAATGTATTCGTTATGCCTTCTAAGGTCAAACGTACAACTGACATGAAATTGGGAGTGATATATTTGAGTAACATATTGAAAGTGTCTGTGCTTAGAAAACTATTTACTTTCTTAATGTAAGTACTCCTCTTTGTTCATAATAATTATGCAGTTACCTTTATCAGTTTTTGATACTAATAGATTGTTTTTCTTAATTTTCGTTCGTAAGGACTCAATTGTTTGAACTTCAGTATTTGGGTCACAAGAAATTTTGTTGTTGCTGATTGAAGTTTTGAGAAATTTTTGTAAAACAGAATGGATTTTTGGAATGTCATTATTTAGACAGAACTTACCTAGCCCTTGAAGTACAATACAACAAATCCGGCTTTTAAGAAAAATGATAAGGTTTAATTTTGCGATTTTTTTTTAGGATAACTCTTATAAATTAAAATTAAATTATGTATACGTCATCTTAAAGTAAAGGTGAAGGAGCACGTTATGTGTATGTTTCAAGTGAATATTCCCATTTCAAAATTTTGTAAAGACGTCTTGAACATTTATGCAAACACACGACTATCAGTTTGGAGTGAGCTGTTCTTGACTTAATCAATAAAATAAATTGATTCATTCTTCAATTTCTGAGTCACTCTATATAAACAATTCTAAAAAACATGAATGCAATAATAAAACATGAAGGTAGACATTCGTCCGATGGATTATATTACCATACTTACAATAACAACACTTGTTTTACTTCATTTTTAATGGATTAAGAAGTAGACGACGATTCCCAATTTTCAGAATATGAAAATACTGCAATTTTCTGAAAATTGAAAAGATGTTAAAAAAAGTCTTTTATCACTTTGAGTTTTTCGCATACAGATTATATTCACACATTTATGGTTACATGTTGCCGTATACCTACCAGGATAATAATTTGTCAAAATACAAATTTAATTACCTCCCTGAGCATGACCAATCCTGGCAAATGAGTTCTTTGTTATCGTGCTCTCAAGAAGACCTTCAACGCGCTGATGGAAACGACTATTTAAGTCTTTTCGATCGCTATAATTACGAAAAAGGAAAATGCTCGGATGGAATGATTTATGGCAGTGCGACTGGCGGCAGTGCCCCATTACTACTTCCAACTGTTTTATATCAAGTCGCAAATCATCATTAGATCTATAAAAAACGAATGAGCAACATCAGATTACCATTAACGCATACTGTATGGATGCGTTTTTCATTAGTGCTCTTCTTGTACTACTTACATGAAGCTTACTTTACTAGTTATATTTTTTCATAATTTAACAACTATACTTGAAATTTTGTCGTAGACCACTCTTAAGTTGAATCATTGCAAAAAAAAAACAGTTACTATCCTCAAGAATATAATTTATTCTAACTAATAAATAAATATTATAAAAATAAAAGCATATCCTTAAATATTGTTACTACTATCAATAATACGTCTCTACGTCAATAACACCCTCCGGATATTTCCTTATCATGAACCTCCTCAACTCATCATACCCAAAAATAATAAAAGCGAAAGGAATCGTCGGCAAAATAACGTCGACCCCTACAGGGTGAAACTGCAAGAACATGTTAATCCCCGGACAGTACACCGCAATGGCTGCAATACTAAGCTCGACAAAAATCCCCATATTCAGCACCCAGTTCGTCATCCCTTGCTGGAACAACGACAATCGCCTCGTCTTACAAATAATCAAATCTGCCACTTGCGTTATAACGATCGACAAAAAGTAAGCACTGTAACACTTATGCATCAGAACCTTCCTCTCCTCGTACGTCCACTCCTGGTCGTACGAGTCCGTCACAATCGCGTCGTTGTCAATCCACGCCTCCCTCAAACCTGGAAGAACATGGCCAAGAGTAACGGGAAAGCACGCCGGTGGTCCTTGTACCTACGAGCTTGTCCCAGTGGAATCCGTGCTCCATCATGCACAGGAAATAGGCCGCGAAGGCCGCACACGTCTGAATCACCCCGATCTGGGCGTAGGTCAACAGAATGAGGCGGTGGTTCACTAGTTTGTCGTAGAAGGGGT